TTTCCAGCCGCCAAAGCTCGAACAGCATTTAAGTCAACCACTCCTAAATTATCTGAAAGATTATTACATTTCCAGTTCCTACCCTTAACACAAGTTTCATACCAAATCAATGCAGGTCCAGCAAAACATTATATTGCCAATCCTAATGCCTCTGCTCTTCCAGCGACTCCTCCAACACCAGGAGTAATATTTATTCTACTAGCCACTACATATCTTCGAAATTCTCTAAGCCAATCTTCTGGATCTTCGCCAGGATGTCCATTAAAAATTGGGGATCCATATCCTACCATATTTGTTTGATTGTTATTTATAGGTTGATTATTCTGAAGCGTAAAAATTTATTGATTCAAATTTAAAATTAATTGCTGTGAATTACACTCCCTATTTTTCCACTTAATATGACTTGCCTTTCGATCCTTGAATTTATTGTAATATCTATCAAAGAGCCGATCTCGATTATATTCTAATAATCCTTTATCGGCCTGGCATTGTTATAGCTCCTGTTCTAAGCGATGAATAAATACCTTATAAATAATTTTAAGAATGTGTTTGAGTTTTGATTGAACTTCTAATGCCAAGGTAATATTATATCACAAACGCCCTCGCATATCATATCTTTGTTGTAAATTCCTACTATTGATATGGCATCGCTGTAATATTAATTAAATAGCGATCTTTTCTCGAATTAATTCACAAACACGTCTATTTTTATCACGATATGAGAACCATCAGCGATGACGTTCTCCCTGCTCATTATTATAAGCTGTAGTCATCAAAGTAAGATCATTCTGATAATTGTCACGCTCATGAGTAAGTCGGTTAACTTGATTTCATAAATTATGTTGCTCTTGGATAATTTGATTAACTTGGTTCTGTAAGTTATCTCGTTCTTGGGTAATCTGATTGACTTGGTTCTGAAAATTATTTTGAATCAACTGATTAACTTGATTTTGCAAAGCGATATTTTGCTGTCTATAGCCATTAACATCCTGCTGTAACTGAATTATCTGATTATCTCTGTCATCACGTTGATTCATAATATCCTCTAAATCCTGGTCTTTTCTTTGATAATTAGCCCGAATAGTATTTAAAGTACCATACATACCTTGAATAATATTAGCTGGATTGTTTAATGGTGTACCATATCCTCTGAAATGATTTTCAAGTCGATTTAACCCCCTAGTAATATTTGTGAAAGGATCTATATATGCCATATCTGTATCTTCCTCTTCTGAATTATATAAACTTGGAGAGCTTCTTCGGGAAGAAATAACTTTGAATCTATATCTTAGATTTTGAACCCACTCTTCCGATTCTTGTAATTGTTTCTCTATATTATCGATATAGGATACCTTATCTCTGATTTCTTTTTTAGCTCGATATAAGCTTTTTTTAAGGGATGATATTTCCAATCTCAAATCATTCTTTTCTTCCTCCGAAGCATTCTCGAGACGTTCCAGTTCTTTATTGAGAGATTGAATTTCATTCTTACACCGGGTATATTTACGTTCCAGATCCTTTATATATTTCTCATTCGACTTGTTGATAGCTATCTCTGATTGTAATATCTCCTGGAGTTCTTGATTAATTTGCTCTAACTCGAATTCTTTATCTGTAGCTAATCTATGAGTTGATCGATTGGAGGGTTGGGGTCTATGAAATACCATGGTTAATACGAAGTAATGAGACTCTGTCTTTATTTTTTACGGCATATTATACTATCTTATCTCTTGACTTTGCCAAATCATAATTTATAGTGAAATGTATCGAAAATGAGTCAGCCTACTATTACAATCAGCAATGATGAAGAATTGAATCTAGTTTGTCGGCTACTTTTTTATCAGCCTACTGGTTATTATTCTAACTCTAGAAAATTATATAAAGATCTCAAGAATAAAGGGTACCGATTTCCATTCAAAAAGGTACATGACTGGCTTATAAACCAGAATGAATGGCAAAAGTATGCTCCGTTACCGAAAGATATTCCAAGAGTTAGTTATGGTAAAATTTCACGTCCGAACTGTGTGCACCAGTGCGAACATCATCCGTTACCTGAAAATCCATAAGGGTTTGCATACTTTTGGCAAATTCTTCCATATCATCAAAAGTCATAGGTATTTTGATGCTAACAAACTCTTCATACAGATATATTGAAGGTAAAGGTCGCACCATATATTTTATACTAATATTTCCATCTTATACAGAAAAAGATTAAGTAAGTAACCAAGAATTTTTTTATTAACAAATATTTTATAATGACACTTACTAACACTTTGAATAGTATAAACTCGTGCTTTCTCACATGGGACTTTATCAAGTAATTTGTTTAAAATTCTTTTTGCATTGCAACTCAATTTCACTTGATCGTCAGTATCCTTGTCTTCTGAAGCGTATTGACCATATGAAAACTCCATGATTATGATTGTCTGTGTAAACTTTTTCGTTTGAAAAACTTTCAAAACCCCATCGATCTTATGGGACTTTGTATCTCTAGTAAGTATTTCTATCCTAAAATAATAGTGACAAAAAAAGAATAGATTAACAATATACAGTGTGTCAAGAAAAAAATTGAACTTTTAAAATATAAAATTACAACATGTATATTAACTTTATTTGTATAAATTAAGGGGCTAATAAATTAATATGATTGTATGCAACATTTAAGGTGCGCAAATATGTATT